AAACGTTGGGAATATCACCATTTGATCCAGCAGGATTTGTTGTGCAAACAATTGACAACTGTTCTGCTTCCCTCACTTGGGAATTTTCCTGAGCGAGGCCACGCTACTGATGCTGCAAACCAAGGGCCCTCATATTTCAGATGCTATTTACATTTCAGATTACTCAGACACCAAAATAATTCTGCATTTAATGCCACTGAAAATGTGGACTAAGCAAAAATTATGACAATATACATTTTTTTTTAACCCAAGCTTCAATTTTACCTCATAGCAAAGTAATGAATTAATATATTGCTTCTATGAGTTCTGGTTATCAGATATTGTGACAGGATAAGAATTTTTAAAATATTGCTCGCTTTAAAACATTTTCTGGAAAATAAAAATATACAAAATAAACAGCACATTGAATTTAACCAGAGTAATAAATGAAAGTATAAAGGTTTGCTTAGAAACATAAAAAAGAATTTTCAAGCATTTTACCACTTCATTTTAAAGCACATTAAAGCTCCTGAAAACAGAATATTTCAGAAAAAACCTCCTCAAACAAACAAGAAATGCATCTTGGGCATCTCCAGCTCCCGCCTAAAGAGCCAACAACTGAAACCACTGCAGGATTTGTTCCTGGGTCATTCCCAGGGGAAGGATGGGAGGCAATGGAGATTTTGGGGCTGGGAGCACCTGTCAGGCTGCAGATAAAGCCAGATGACCAACTCATTTCACAAAGCTCTATGAATAGCCATGGCAGGGCTCTCAGTGACTGCTGCTGCCAGCCTGGAGCTGAGGGCTCACAATGCACACAAGGACCCTAAAGCACCACTGGAAAGTTCAAATTAGCTGCTTGTAGATACTCGTTTGTATATTTATCTATTTGTGTATGCAGCTAAACTCATTTGCATGTGTACTCATACACTTTTTAACATCGTAGTCCAAGGGATTTTGACAAATTTTACCTTGATTTAAAAATAGTACCAAGTCTGAACTCCTTTCTAGACGATTCATCAAGGAAATAGAAATTGCTATAATAAAGAACTTGGAATTCAAAAGAGGGAAGGAGTCAGCACTTCTCAATTTCTTAACTGCTGCTTTTTGTTTTATTCCCTCTTCATTTAGGTCCAGATACACAGAGAAAAATTAAAGCATCCTGAAAGCTATTTGCAATGTTCTTCCAAAATTTCATCCCTAATACCAGCTTTGGTTCCTGTGCAGGCCCATTTGAAACTGATTGAGCAGTATTATTCCATCTAATAGTTCCAAAAATAAATACAAGGAAAAGCCAATGAGAGCCTGTGGTTTCCAACGTTCAAGTAACTCTTTAAAAGAATAAGCAGGTCCTTAATGACACAAGAGCATTAAAAAGGAAATAAATGTATCCTGTATCTTTTTATTTTTGAATGCAATGGTAATTCTGATTTCCACTGGGACAGAACAAGAACCAACACAGGGACAACCAAACAAAACAAAACCCTCAGACAACCCAACAAGCCTGAAAGAACAAACAGAATTCCCCACCTTCCCGAAGTTTTGGCAGGATTTTTGTAAAAGAAGCTCAGTCACTTTCAAAATTTGTGTCCATGGCCATGAACAGATGAGACTGAACTGCTTTGAGACTGAACTGCACGTGGCCTCTTAAGCCCATAGAGAGACACTGGGACATTAGTGGGGCTCCAGATGGGCACGAGGGGCCTCCCACCTGGCCTGCTCTTTCCACAGGGAACATCCACAGGGAGCACTGGCTGCTGGGCCACAAACTCATGGTGGACTTACAGACTGTATTCCAGCCACTGATCTTCCACAGAGGAGGAAAAATGGTGAGGAACAGTAGGGAAAAAAAAAAATAAAAATCCACTGACAAAGCGAATTAAATAACCCAGCTGAATCCCAAGGCATTCCATCCTGGAGAGGAATGTGACTGATGCCAGGATCTCCAGTGCTTTTGAACAAGGAGAAACACTGATCCCTCCACAGCCCAAGAACGAAAGGACTGCAAGAAAAGTTCAATTATTGAAGGTATTGCATCATAAAGATTCTCCTCAAACATCCGCCTCCCTAATCCAAATAGAGACCAACTCATCTGTCCACAAAGGAAGGAAGGTATGGCAGCAAGCTCCACAGAAACATTAAAGCCAGGCCTAAACACCATCTTTATGCTCAGCACAGCCATGGCAGGGCCTTGCTAACTCCAAACTATCTGCCCTTAGAGCCCAGGAAGACACTGACCCAGAATACAGCAAAATAATTGTTAATTCTGTCCCCAAAGATAAAGAACTGGAAAATCCGAACCAAGTTTTGCCAAAAGCAATCTGCACCTGCAAATATCCCAATAATAGCAGCAAAAAGAGCTTAAGAACCCAAATAAAAGGAAATTGTTGCCTTTTAGTTACAGCTGTTGATAATTCACAATCTTTCCTAGCACAGGTTGAAAGATCCAATTCCTTCAGCTTTTGGAAGGTTGTGACAGCAGCCAGAAAGCCCAAATTAGCCTGAGACCCCTTTGTGCAGGAATTGCCACCCAGAATCCCAGTCCCAGCAGTGCTTCCTTCAGAGGGCCCTTCCCACCCCAATCCCACAGCTCTCCCTCCAGCACAGACTTGGCTGCAGGACTGGAGGCCTATGGAAATGAAGGCTTATCAGTAATTTTATCTCTAGGATTTAAAGCAAGAAAAACCCCTGAATTATTCTGCCCAGCTTCAAAATCCTGTTCAATTTCACTGTGTAACCATATTAAACCAAACCACAGGTACTTTAAAGCCCAAAACACAAGGAGATGGTTAAATCTCTGTAATAATTACTGTATCACACCACTGTAGGATGTGGAAGTTGGGGGCAGAGCTGCAGCTCTACATACACGGGGAATGTAATCCTGCAGGCACTATAGACTTCCATGAACAGAGGAAAGCAGATCAATGGGATCTCAGACTAAGAAAAGCAGCAGTGTCATGAAATAAAATAATGAAATGATGTCCTTTACTCTTGGACAGGCTTTTGCTGTCCAACTCCTACCTGTAGTAAACTAAAAGGAGAGCCACATGTTTAAATCATGGGTGTTTATACACAGATCTGCTGATTTTGGGGACTGACGCCGTCGAGGTTTTTTTCTCCACATGTTTAAACCCAAAGTTATTACAAGCAAAAAAGAAAACTAACAGCAAACTATTAGAAAGAACTACAGTTATGGCTGCTGATTCCAATTCTCCATCACAACATTGTCCAGTATCAATCCAGCTCTGGTCTTCTCCTGCTCCTTCCACCTCACCAAATTACGGCTCTCGCAAACTCTTCCCAGCCCGACCCCAAAACTGCTGCTTCCCACCACACACGTGGGTACAAATTAGAAATGGGAGACAGCCCAGCATGCCAGGAGAGCTCTTTCTTGTGGGCATCCTTCAGCATGAGGCACAGTGACACGCACACTCTCTGCTGACCACCATTTAACTGGGATGCCCCTCTGGAACACACACCCATGGCCTACTCCATGGTTCTGTGCTCAGCGCTTAATAAACCAAAAATAATAAGCCCAAAATAAACCAAAGCACTCCAACCGTCTTTTGGAAATTACAGAGGACATAATTAAGCTCCAGAAATAAGCAGACAACAGCAATTTCAATATAAACATCCTACTTGTGTAGGGGACTGTCTCATTTCAACTCTGTGTTAATGCTCCAACTCTTACTTCTGGATCCTTGCAAACATCTAGAAGGCTTCTCCCAACATCTCCTCGAGTCCAGAATTTAGTTTGACATTTAAAGCCATTACATTTTAACCTATTTCAGACGTTTGAACACGTAAGTTTCCCTCGAACCAGCAGAAAACATGGTCAGGCCAGTCCACCAGCAGCACCTGACCAACACGGCCAGCGGGGATGGAGACACTTGGCCTCCCCAGCAGAAAGCCATGGAAAAACACATCCCGACATATATATTTGAACAAACCATTGCCCAAATATAGCCGGGCACCACCGACAACCAGGGGCTGCCACCAAACCACATCCCAACCCCGCAAACACCAAGTCCAGCTCCTGGACTGTCTATCCCTGGAAGTTCAGCTCGGCAAAGGGTCTTTGTACAAGTGGTCTTTGTACCTTCACCACCGCAGGGGTTTAATAACTCAAACAATAAGTCAAACAACGGCCTGGAAACTGGGGGGGCAACGCCGGGGGCTCGCTGTTATCCCGGGAAAACAACACTTTCGGGACTCGGCCGGGGCTCAGCACCCACCGCACCACCCCGAACTTTGCCCGGCGCCCCCGCCACCATCGCCCCCCTCCCCTCCCGCTCCGGAGGGGCCCAAAGGAGCATCCCCGGAGCATCCCCCGACAACAAAGCTGGGGCGGGGGGCGCCGGGAAGGGGCCCGAAGTGACAGGCGGTGCCCCCCCGGGGTAAACAGGGGGTAAACACGGGGTAAACAAACAGCCCCCCCCCGCCCCGCCGCTCCCCCCGCACTCACCTCAGGGCCCCCGGGCGCAGGGAGGAAGGCGGAGACGCACACAAAGGGTAATAAAGGGGGAGGAGGAGGAGGGAGCGGCGCTCCGCGGGGCCGCCCCCGAGGGACGGCGGGGGGGTGGGGGGTCTCGGTGTGTTTGGGGGTGGATGTGGAAGAAACTCCCCGGCGGGGCTGCGGGGGGGCAGCGACTCGGGGCCCCCCGCCCCCGCCTCGGCGCGGCGCTGCTTCGTGTCCCTTCAGCGGCGCGAACAACCGGCCGTCCCGCCGCCGCCCCCCCCCGCGCTCCTCCTCATCGCCGCCGCCGCTGTCGGGAAGGAGGAGGAGGAGGAGGAGAAGGAGGAGGAGGAGGAGGAGGAAGAGGAGGGGAGGCAGCAGCGGCGGCCGCCACCGCGCATGCGGGGACGACGACTTCCCACAGCGCCGCGCGCGCCGCTCCCGGAAACGGATCCGGGACAGGGAGGAAGGAAGTGGATGAGGAGGGAGGAAGAGGGGGGTGAAATGGACGGGGAGGAAGTGACGGGAGCGGAGGGGAGGGGAGGGAGGGTGAACGGGGAGCGCGCGGTGACGCGAGGGGGCGGCGCGCGCGGGGGCCGGTGGGAGCGCGCGGGCGCGGCGGGCCCCGCCCTCCGGTGAGGGAGGAGAGGGCGGGAAAGCGCCGTGAGGGCAGCGCCGGCAGGTGAGGGAGGCGGGAGAACGGAGAAAGAGCCGGCCATCTGTCCCAGCCTGCTGCCCCCGCCGGGCGGGACGTGCCGAGCAGCGGAGGATGCGCCCTCCCGCCCGCCCTTCGTCTGCTCGGGCTCCGGCGTCTCTGAGGGAGCCGCGGATGCAGCCTGTGAGGAGGGTAACGGGGGCTGCGGGATCGGTTTCTGAGGGGATGGATGGCTGCCCGGGGTGGGGGGGTCTTGGCTGCCGTGTGGGGGTGAGGTGAGGGCTCAGGGTGAGGGTGGCCGCCCTCAGGTGACGGAGAGGAGGCGGGAAACGTCGTGAGGGGAGGCGGGGGCCGGACGGTATCCCAGGACACTCCAAGCCCTGTAGGGCTTCCCTCATTTCCTCACTTCTGGGCTCTCTCAAGGTCCTCCCGAAACCCGCTCTCAGCGTCCCCACAGCCTCTCATGGACCCTCCCAAGCTCTTTGAGGCCTCTCCATTCCCTCGCCAGGGTCGTCACAGACGCCCCCAGCCCCGAAAAGTCACCCCAGTCAGACCGCCCACCTTCCCCATTGCCGCAGCCCTTCCCCAGATCCCTGCCCAGATGGACACGCTGCCCCCCGCCCCCTCCATTCATTTTCAGAGCATTCCCAGACCCTCGTAGCCCCCATAAATTCCTCACCCCAAATACCTCAGGGCCACTTCCAAACCCTTCCCAGGATCACTCCTAAGTCCACTCAAGACCCTTAATTCCCCCCAAATCCCCCTTAGAGCCTCCCTCAGGCCCTCTTGAATCCCCCTCAGAAGCCACTCAAACTTCTCAATCCCATTGTGATCCCCCAATCCCTAAAGGTTTCCCCTCAAACCCCCTCTGGATCTACCCAAATCTCTTTAGGGACCCCCCAGTCCCCTTAGGACCCCTTCAAGTCCCCTTCAGAGCCAGCTTGTCCAGAGAGAGATGCTGTGCTTATTGTTATAAACTGCACATTATAAACAAGGATGGCCAGTTATTCCTGTAAAAACGTAATTGTTGTGTCTTTTAGTGTGTGCTTGTAGCTTGTTCCAGCTGCAGAAACAGAAGGACATGATTTTAAACTCTCTAAAGCATCCTAAAGCCAGTGCAGTTTAGATGTGTGTAAACATGGGTTTAATGTTACCAGAAATAAATTTAAAATTATTTCAGCATTTTGGCTCTTTTTCACTAGGAAGATGGACTGCTGCATCTTCATTAGCTAAGAAGTGATGTTCATTACAGTCCTTAAAGATGACCAACACCTAAGTACAGTTTCTGACTGGGATTGTTTGGAAAGCAATGCTATTTAATAAAATGTTAATTTTCTCCCAAGATGAAACCTTCTGCAATGGGCAAGCGAAAGTTGAAGGAGAGCAGTGCAGAAAGTGCTGAGTGCATTTCCCAGGTCAGTAACATCTTCATTCATTATTTTCTTTTCAAGTTACGGAACTTTTCCACCCTCTGCCATTCATGGAATTTGTATTTTTTTTTCCTGGTTAGAATGACTGGTACAGATACTGGATACAATTGTTAGGGCACTAAATGGCTTTTGTATCTGTAATTCTTTCAGCTGCCCACCTGCTGGGTGCTTCAGGTGTTACAGTAATAACGTAGTAACTCAAAGTTTTTACTTTGAGTAAAAACTCAAAGGATGGTCTTGTGCTTTTGGAACTGTTTGTGGCCACAGATTTGCATAAATTTATTTTTATCCACTTTTTGCCTTCCAGTTTGTAGGGTGAATCAGAACCCAGGTGACATTTTGGCAGCAGGACAGCAGCTGCCAAGTCAGTTTTTAGTTTGTCTGGTTTTTTAAAACCTTTATTCTCCTCTTTCCCCAAAGTTGCTGGTTAAAAACTGCAATGCATCTTGCAAGGAATTACCCCTGGATCAGTGATTTCTTATATATTTTAATATTTTTAATTGCTTTTTCTCCTTTATATAATATTTATACAATACTCTGCCTCCTGCAGCTTTATTCTTACTTTCAAGACCCTTGTATCCTTGATGGCAGTAAAGATTTATGTGTTATAGAATATTTGTAACACCACAAAAGTGCCTAATTTACTGTTATTTTATTGCTGTGGTTACATTATTGGTAAATTCCGGTGTTTGGAGCCCCAAATATTTTTCCTGTGCTGTGTTACATCCCTAGGTGCAGAAAATCTTACGTGAAAGATTCTGTCACCACTGTGCTGCTGGAAAACTGTTTGGGCTGGAGCAGCAGTACAGGTGAGTGAGCAGGCATTTCTAATTTAACTGCAGCAGTGAAATAGTCTGAAGTCACAATTTTCTGCCTCTGATTTACTAAATGATGCAGGCTTAAGTGACTTCTAGCCCAGTGCTTCTAAAAATTATTTGCCTCGGGTTTTGACAGTTTTTATACAACTGCTCCCTTCTGGTTTTGTCAGGATCTGAGTTTTGGATTTCTTGTCCTTGTTTCACATCTCTCATTCATGAAGCACTTTTCTTTTTGATACTTTCAGTGCATGTCCTAAGACTTTGTGTAATGGCCTGGCAAAGCAAGGAGTTAAATTCTCTTGCTGTGATACTTTGTTTTTGCTTTTGTTTGTTGGTGAACTGCGTTAGAAGTAAATGTTAAAATTTCTGTGCCAACATGATGTTTGTTGAAGCAGAAACCCATATTCAAACCTACTTCTGGGACCTTCCAGATGGGGACTTTAGGGTTAGGAAGAAGGGATTTAGTGGGGCAATAACACTGTCCCAGTACTGATCATTTCACAGATGCAGGTCAAATTCTGCAGATAACAAACCTGTATTTAAAGAACTTGTTTTAAACAATTAATTTTTCCAAGGCTGACTTAAAGTAAGTGGAATCACCTGATGTGAGCACAAGTTTTCACTACAAGAGGGACAAAACCATTTATGAAAACAGTGTACTGTACCTGCAGGGCTCACATTGGCATTTTATGGCTGTTGTGAGGAAATGTGCTTCTGTTATGTCAGTTTTACACAACAAGCCTCCCCCATTCATACCGGAATTCTGAAAAGCAATTCACAGGCTGTGTCCTCACTGGTAGTGATTTATCCTGCAGGGAAAGCACAATGCACTCCCCAGCTCTGATTTTCCCTTCCCAGGATGTGTCAGGGCTCTTGGCTGGAGCTGGCTCTCAAGCAGGGACCACAGCCACACGTGTTGGCTGACTTGTCACCCCTTCAGAAGCAATAGCAGGGTGTCAGTATCCCATATTCCAAAAGCACGTTATTGATGTGTAAGCATTTGGGAATTGCAGGTGTCAGAGGTTGCTGTAAGCACTTCAAACGTGGTTTGAGGTGATGAGTCTCTCTGCAGGTAATTTCGAGCTGGTGAGGAATAGTGGTAGCACAGAAAGCAATCTGTTTCTTCAAGAAGTAATTATTGAAGTCTGTCCTTTCAAGGCTGAGAATTGCAGAACTTTATGAATTAGTGATACTCTCAACTTCTGCATGTTTTAATATTTTAAAGTATTTTAAGAGCTCTGATCACTGAGCCCTTTGTACTTTATTGTATTACATTTTGCATGCCCTGAGTGCTGGCTCTCGGAGCAAGCCGAAGCGGATCCAGTTTTACTCTTTGAATTTTCCCTGGCTTTGGGGGATGCTGTCAGCTTTGAGGATTTCAGCCTATTTCTGGTTTCAACACAGACATTTGCTGGAGCTGCTGAAAAGAACCACGGTGCACGGGGAGAGTAATTCCGCCCTCATCATCGGCCCGCGGGGATCCGGGAAAACGGCGGTAGGAGCAGCTCTCGGAGCTTTGTGTGGGTCCAGCAGAGCCTCACTGGCATCCTGGGAGCCTCTGCAGCTCTGCCTGGTTTTACAGAGAGAATTGCTAATGGTTTGCCTGGAAATGAGCACGTTCCAGGACTTGCTGTGGAAATTCTGTTCAGGAGCAGCGTGGAGAAATCTGTTCCTAACGCTTGTCTTTGCAATTAAAGCCGTGTTCTGATTACTCTCTAATTAACCTGGTTTTGGGCCCTCACTGTAAAAATTATGAAAAGGCATCCGAAAGCTCTAAAAGGAGTGGTCTGAGGGGAGGGTTTCTCCATGGCTGTGTGTATACAGGGAATGGTCAGGAATATTGTTACCTGCCATGGAGCAGAATATTCCTTGGTGGTTATGGTTTATAAGTGTAGGCTTTGTATTTTAAGGGAAGGCACATGCAGGGATGACCTCTAACTTAAGTGTTTAATAGTTCAACATTATTCAAACACTCAAGTCTTTAATGTTCACATTAAATGATGTGATGAGAATTTGTGGTCCTTTCAGACACAATATAAGTTAGCAAAATCACCTATGCAGAATCAATTACTTCCTTTTTATATATCAAGTGAAAGATGCTGGAGTAAAGAAAATAATGTGTGTGTATATTTATATATTTATACTTGCACATAGGTGGGAGCTACAAATCCTCCTCTGAAGAAGCCAAAGCAAATAGTACCTTTTAATTTTTAAATTTAACATTTCCACTACTTACAGATATTTTAATACAAGTTTTTACTAGTAACAAGATCTTGATGGACAGCAAATTTGGGAGTTTTATAAGCAGCAGTTGGTGCAATCATGCAGTTTTAATTTTGTCTTCCAGAAGAAAAGAATAAGCAGAGTTTCTTTTAAGATTCAAAGCAGAGATTTCTACAGCATCCAAAGAAGCCATGAAGCTGAATATGGCACCAACTCAAGAGTCAAATTCTCTCACATCTCAAATTCATAAAGCTTTTTGATTAAGGCAGAAGCCCCAGATACTGGCCCAAAAAATGACTGAAATACCAGAGTTATTTTCCTTTCCCTCCCAGTTCAGCAGAATGAGCAAATGTAATTGTAACAATCATGGTGAAGGCAAAGTTGTCATTTTAGTGTTTTAGTCTGGCAATTACTCAAACATGTTCCCTAATGAAACCTTACACACTGTTTCCTGTCCTGTAATACCTGTAATTACACTTTCCTTGCTGTTAAAAAATTTTCTCACAGAAATTCTGTAATTTTTCTTTCCTAGTTATTAAATCATGTCTTAAAAGACCTCAGGGAAATGGAACAAGTGAGAGAGAACCTCTTGGAAGTCCATCTGAATGGCAAGTAAAACATCATTGATCCAGGGTTCTGTTATATTCAGCTCTGTGTTTTGTATGTACTGAGTGAATTCTTGCTTTCAGCAATTTAGTCCAGCCTAAATTATGGACGTGTTTGTCTGTAAGCTCTGAAGTGCCTCTCTGTAGAATTTCTCTATATGGAGAGAACTTCTGTGCTCAGTGACAGAATTAAGTCACTTGTCAGGTACAGAAAACTCGTGTCCAGTCTGATTTTTAAAAAGGCAAAAAGCTCTGCAAGGCTGGGAAGGGGGAGAAGCTGCTGTCAAGTTCCTAGTGGGAGTGAAGGAGCTGCCAGTTCTTCATGAGGAATCCTTTCCTTTCAGGGCTTCTGCAGACAAATGATAAAGTGGCCCTGAAGGAGATCACCAGGCAGCTGCAGCTGGAAAATGTGGTTGGGGACAAAGTTTTTGTGAGTGACTTCATTCACCCCTCCAAAACCCTCTCCTGGGACACTGGGGCTGTGTGGGATGGAGCCTGCAGGACCTGCCTGGGCTGTGACTGCCCAGGGGCTGGGGTTCCATTGCTGATTGAGCAGTGCTGATGCATCCTTACTGCTTTCTAAAAACCCACCAACTTGTGCCTCACAGGAGGGAGGAAGGGAACTCTGCCTTAACAAGCCCCACAAAAACAAACTTCAGTATTCCAAAGTTATTCCAAAGGATTGAGTATTTATAGTGTTCCTTAAGTGTTCCAGACTTAAGTATTCCAAAGAAACTTTATTCAGAGGCGTGGGGAATTTGGAAATGTTGTTTTTAGCATTTCAAAACAAAGATTTCAACCAAAAAGCAGGACCTTTAATATTATTAATTATTATTAATATTATAATATTATTATATGTTATCAACCCTTTTTGGTCTATCAAAAAGGAAGTCTATGCAGGCTTCCTAGAGTTCTCATTTTCCATGGAATTTCTATTGAAATATTTGCTGCTATTTCCCTTTTCCCACAGATAAACTGATTTACATGAGTACTGAAGACAGTTCTAAAGAGAGTGAGCAAAGTGCTTGAAAATGAATTTCCCTCATTATCTGTAACTCACATCCAGAGGTTAAATTGGTTTTTCTGCCCCCTTTTGATTGGGCTTGTGCTCTCCAGTTCATTATTTCTCATCTCACAGCTGGAGTGCTGCGGGGTGGGAGGATTTGTGTGACTGGACCAGGATGGGCACAGCCATTCAGTGGGTTTTTTTTCAGAAGTGTTTGATGCTTCCATCTGTTCAATAAAGTTGCCAGTTAAACCCTGCACCCTGCTCCCTCTCAGTGGAACACGTTAGGTGGCACTTTTTCCATGTGTGTGGCTGGAAAATGAGGATGCAACAGCTATTTCAGGAAGGATGGAGCTGCCTCTGAATTGAGCTGATTGCAGGCATTCTCCTGATCACTAATTCTTGCCTGTCTGAGGCAGTTTGGGGATTTCAGACTGGGAAAAATGGATGAATGTAGAGTTATCCCTCCTTGTTCTTGTCCTGAGGAGTTTATCATTGTACAGCATGAAGTACCACTGGACATTTTTGAAAGCAGACTTTTGGAAGGAACTGGCCTCCACTGCATGTCTGAATTTGCTGTAATTAGACAATTTGGAGAATGACACTACAAATCTATTCTGAAACTCCTTTCTTTCCTGTCTAGGGCAGTTTTGCTGAGAACCTTGCCTTCCTCCTTGAAGCTCTGAGGAAAGGTAAACACTAAAAATCCCTGTTGTGAAACTCTGGGTCACTTGACTGGAAAGTGGAGGTTTTTAATTCTACTTTACAGGTAGAATGAAGAATCTTAGCCCAGGAATGTGACATAGTTACAAAATAATATTAAAAAATAGTAAAAAATAGTTAATACTGATTACTACACTGAACACAGTATATACACCTGCTGTGACTTCTAAGGCTTGCATGTGATGTTAGCTGTGAAGGACAGATTCTTTTATCCAGATTGATGCTATTAAAAATTGTTATGTTGTTTTTAAAACAAAATTGGCCAAGTCTGTGTTCCTTGTAGCCAAAATGCTGTTTGGCACAACACTACAAAACCTTCCCAGTTTTTCCATGTAGTTTCCTTTTTTCTGTTGGATGTGTAGGAAAGGAGGGCTTAGTGAAAAGCTGAAAGATGATGTGTGCATTTTTATTTAACCCCATTATTAAAGAAAGCTGTAGCAATGCAAGTCTAATGCTGGAGTTGCCCTGCTAACTCTCCAAATTTCTCTCAGGAGACCGAAGCAGCAGCTGCCCAGTTTTGTTTGTCCTGGATGAGTTTGATTTGTTTGTCCACCACAAGAATCAGACCCTGCTCTACAACCTCTTGGACATCTCCCAGTCTGCACAGACCCCAGTGACAGTTATTGGGCTCACCTGCAGGCAGGTGAGAAATGGCATTTCCTCACTCCAGGTTTTTAGCTGTTCTAAAGGGACTTCTGTCTTGGTTGGAATGACTTCTCTTTCCCTGGAACCTTCACTTCCTAAGAGATTTCGCTCAATTATCCATTTTTCTGACTTTTTAATTGGGAAGGGGGATGTAAAAAAAAAATAATAATTTGTGCTGAGAGCAATTGAAGATGCCCAAAGCCTTCAGTTTCACTGCTAAAGGAGCAAACCAACATTTCTAAGGACACACATTCAGGATTAGACCATGGTTCACTCTTTGGAGGGGCTCCTGAATTCCTTGGTTGGCAGTTGGCAAGGACTTAAAAGCAGTAACTGTGTTTAAATCTCCTTTTTTTTTTTTTTAAAGAAACCACTTCAGTAGGATGGTTTCTTAAAAAAAGAAAATTAGTTCAGGATCCCTTTTCCTAGCAAAAGTCACTTTTGCTAGAAAATGAGTTCAGGATCCCTGTTCAATTTGCTATTTTACAATGACATTAGCTGGAGATAGTTGGGTTGTGGCAGGAAGAATAATTAAAACCTCTTATCAAAGCCTGATTCTGGGTTTGACTGGGATCAGGTGATACCCAGCTGGGCAAATTTCTGGAAGTTAATAGAGAGGTTAATTGTTGATTTAATAAATTACAGTCTTTCCTTTTGCATCATCACTGTCCTGAGTCTGGTGTGCTCCTCACCCATTATCTAGAACCTTTTATTCCCTGTTTTGGTGTAATTAAGGAAGTGTCTCCAGAGTGACAGCTGCTGTTTCTGAGGAGATTTTTTTCAGCTCTGAAGTATTTTTGGGGATTTTTAAGCTGTATTCTCTCAGGCTGACAAAAGCACGTGGCCTGTCAGCTGGCACCCCGGTGTGAGCACACAACAACTTGTCCAGAGCCCTGATAGGCTGCAAGGCTTGGTTCAGCCTTAAGTAGCTGAAACATTTCCATAATCTATGGAGACATTTTGTGGGTTTCCTAGCAACAAATGATCCTGTGTGATGTGCAGCATCACGTGGGCCAGGATGGTTGGTGGCATTGCAAGGCACATCAATTAAAATCATCAGCAAAGGGCTTGTTAGAACATTGAACTTATGTTACAACATTTGAAGCCTGAGAATTCAATAATTCTTTCTTTTTTCAGCACACTGTACTTCAGTGATTTGTCTGTGCTGTAGCAAAGAAACCCCAAGTTCATCTGCTTTTTTAATTATTGTTTTTCCTTTTTTTTCCCCATCAAGGATATCCTGGAGCTCCTGGAGAAGAGAGTAAAGTCAAGGTTCTCCCACAGACAGATATATTTGATGAATTCCTTTGATTTTAAACAATACATTAAGATATTTAAGAAACAGCTTTCTCTTCCTGCTGAGTTTCCCGATGAGTCTTTTGCACAAAAATGGAATAATAATGTTCAGGTACTTTAAGCACTTTATCCTTGATTTTAGGAAAAATTCTAGAGTGAGAGCAGTGTAAAGCTGGTTTACTTCATACACATATTCTTTACCAGTAAAAGTGTAAAGCTTTTACCTAAGACTGGCATTTCCTTTCACTGGCTGAGTGTGCTATGGAATAAATTAAATTATTTTAGAGCATCTTTGCTTATTGAAGTCTGGAGGTAAAGTTGTCACAGGAAAGACCAAAAAGTTGAGGTTGGATATGAAAACTGTATTGTGAAGTGTAAGCTGAGCTCTTTTAAAAATATATTTACCTGTTATTTTTCCAGGTGAGTGTGAAATGACTAAAAGTGAGTACGAGATGGTTAAAACATGGCTTTGTTGTTTCCTGCAGCATCTGTCAGAGGATAAAACCGTGCAGGACGTGCTGCAGGAGCTCTTCCAGCACACCAAAGACCTGCGCTCGCTGCATCTGCTCCTGGTGTGTATTGGGGTGTTCATGGATCACCTCCTTGCAGTAATTCCTGAGCAGCTCTCGTGCTTGTCAGGCCTTTTGGCTGAGCTTTGCATGAAACAGCATTCATTGCACTTGAGCCAGCGCTGGCTCCTTGCAGCCTGTGCTGTGTCAGTGAGTGGGGTAACTCCAGTTCTGCAGCAGTTACCCTCTGAGGATGGACTGTTCCGTTCAGGTGGGGCTGAGCTTTTGCTGCTTAACTTTCTCCAAGCCTTCCCATTTATAAAACAAAACTGTAGGTGAAACCTTTTGAAACTGTTTGTTCCTTTCTGAGATTGTTTTTGGTTCCTGGTGGATCCTGACATCTGCTCTTATTGAAGCCTGGTTTTTCTACTTGAGCTTCCATCACCACAGAGGAGCAGCAGCTCTCTGGGAGGGTCTTTTTTAAATTTAAGCTGCCTCCCTAATTCTGCTTTTGAGCACAGCTCATATAAATGCACTGACACTTACAGAGGATAAATAACACATATTTAACCACCCTAAACTATCCCTGTGCTTGTGTCAGTGTGAAAAGCCCCCTGCCTGCCCCTGGGCTGTTGTGCCAGCCCGGATGTGTGCCCTCCCAGCTCCTGCAGTGCTCAGAGCCACCCTGAGAACCAGAGCAGAGCCCTCTTGGTGGTGCTCAGGGCACTGGAGTTGGTGACAAGATTGCAGATTATTCCTAGTGCAGGGCAAAAATCTGTTCCTGTGGTTGCAGTGGAGGCCAGGAAAGGAGCTGATGGCAACCAAGAGCCTCCCTGAGAGCAGGGAAGAGCTGAGGCTCAGCTTTCCCCTTGTCTGCAGCATGTGCTGAGCTTTTCCTTTGGAAAGAGATCTTTAGTTCTGAATCCAATAAAAGCACGTAATACAGATTCTGGAGGGATGAGTGAGGAGTTCCTGGACAAACTGTGGGAAGAGCAGGTTCTGGGGAGACCTCAGAGCCCTTCCAGTGCCTAAAAGGGCTCCAGGAGGGCTGGAGGGAGACTGGGGACAAGGCATGGAGGGACAGGAGCCAGGGAATGGCTCCCACTGCCAGAGGGCAGGGATGGATGGGAGATTGGGAACTGGGAATTCCTGGCTGGGCTGGAATTCCCAGAGCAGCTGTGGCTGCCCCTGGATCCCTGGGAATGTCCAAGGCCAGGCTGGCCAGGGCTTGGAGCAGCCTGGGACAGTGGAAGTTCCCTGGGCACAAAAGCAGGTGCAGAGCAGCTGTAAGTCATTCCTGCAGCAGCCTGTGAGGCCTGATCCATTGCCATGGATATAAACAGGTTCATGAGGATTTATCTCCTGGAATCGGGAGGCTTTAAGGTTTGAAGCCTGGAAAACCTTCCTGGCAAGATGAAATGGAGGTTTTCATCACAAGAAATGAAATGCAAACCCTGTTAGCGGGGTTTTGGGCGTGAAGCTGCTCCGTGTGCGGTGCATCCATTCCTGTTGCAGGGTTCCCAGCAGGAGTGCAGTGAGCTGTGTGTGTTGCAGATGCTGGCTGGCAGCGCAGTGACCGTGCACCACCCCCTGCTCACGGCTGCAGACCTGCAGGAGGCCAGCAGGCAGCACAGCACCGACTCCAAGGCCAACATTGTCCATGGTAAAGCCCAGCTTGTCCCCAGAACTGGTCTGGAAGCAGGGGAGGTGTCGAGTCCCTCCCTGGAATTCTCCAGGTGGAGGAGATGCTGTGTAGGGAGTGTTCCCTGTGGGTGTGAGCTGCTCTGAGCCACACCTGCCTGTGGGCCCAACAATGCCAACTTGGACACTTCCAGTTGTCTCCTTTTTGTGGGAACAGCCCAATCCTGAACATTTCTCCTTCAAATACACAGCAAACAAATGTTCTCTTATCAATCCTCTCCAGTCTCAAGCTGCACCAAGGGAAGTTTAGGTTGGATATTAGGAAAAGTTTTTTACAGAAAGGGTGACAAAGTTCTGGAATGTTCTGCCCGGGGAGGTGGTGCAGTCCCCATCCCTGGTGTGTTTAACAAAGCCTGGATGTGGCACTGGGGCCAGGGTTCAGTTGAGGTGCTGGGGCTGGGTTGGACTCCATGATCCTGAAGGTCTCTTCCAACCTGGGCATTCTGTGAATTCTGTAAGATTTTGAATTCTGGAATTTCTTTACATAATAAAGGTACAGAACACCAGTGGGTGAGGCCCAGAGCATATAAAAATAGAGGAATGAACAGAGTGGGTGAACTGACTGTGCTCCAAGGAAATACTTGGAATTCTTGTGATTCCCTGCAGGTTTGTCTGTGCTGGAAATCTGCCTCATCATAGCCATGAAACACCTGAACGAGGTCTATGATGGAGAACCCTTCAACTTCCAGATGGTTTACAATGGTGAGAGCAATGCCTGAGCTTCACAAACCCTGCCCCACTCACTTCCTTCTGACTGCCCCTTTCTTCTCCTGCTGCTGCAGAATTCCAGAAGTTCATCCAGAGGAAGGCACATTCTATGTACAACTTTGAGAAGCCAGTTGTCATGAAGGTGAGCCTGAAACGCGTTTCCTTTTGAGTTGTAGAATATCCCAGTTTCAGTTCTGGGGCACGGACTGGCGTGGTCAGACGCAGCCCTAGAGGGAGCGGGGTGTTCTGGGGCAGGAATGGTGTTCCCTTGCAGCGCCCCTTTTCCTTCCCAAGGCCTTTGAGCACCTGCTGCAGCTGGAGCTGGTGACGCCGCTGGAGCGGCCGTCGGCGCGGGCGCAGCGCGAGTACCTGCTGATGAAGCTGCTGCTGGACAGCAGCCAGATCATGGACGCCCTGCAGGTGTACCCCAACTGCCCCACCGACGTCAAGCAGTGGGCAGCCTCCTCCCTCAGCTGGCTCTGAGCTCCACCAGCCCCGTCACAGGGAATGTTTACCTGCACCAAGGTGTTTGGATCACTGAATTTTTGGAAGCAGTTTTCTTTGCTGATTCATTTGGGGTTTTCTAGGGAGAACGGTGCTGCTGTTCCCTTCCAGCAGCCAGAACTGTGCCTCACTCACTGCCAGGTGCTTTAGCTCAGCTCAGTGCCAACTCCTGCTCTCAGTTCCCACTTGGAGAAATCCAAGCTCTGGGGTTTCTCCCTGTGGCCGAGGGCTCTGGATCCTGGCTCAGGCCCTGCTGCCCTCCTGGCTCCCTTCTACAGCCCCATCAGGTCACAGCTCACACTGCACTTTTCCATCTCAAATCTGACCTGACATGGAAAATGTATCCAATTAAATCTTTAATCACAGCTGAATTTACTTCATTAAATGTTTAATCCAACAGCCTGTTTGGTGCCAAGTACAAGGTAACATCATTCCATACCAAATTTTTGGAGCAAAACTCAAAGAGCTTGGCTCAAGAGCTGCTGTAGGACCAGCCCCATGTGTTTATTGTAAAATAAAGTTTTCGAAGAAGCATTTGCAAGTCAGAGTAGTCACATTTTTTATTTTCCCGCTGGGGAAGAGGGCAGAGTATACATTTGTATTTGTACAATATTTAACAATCACTTTATTGAGGGCGAGGGGGGTTGGTTGGTTTTTTGGCACCTGCAGAAAAGCAGCAAGTGCCTTTTAACAGTAGTACAACAACCTGTGCCCAAAACACTGACAAATACAAAGAGGAAAGTTAAAGTAATCGCTCACCAAACTCGAGAGGTAACGAAGAGGAGATGGACTGAAAAAAACAAAGTGGAGGGAGAAAGCAAAGCAGTCCTGCTGGTTGAGTATCTGAGGTAACAGATGTTCCATCAAGGATGCTGCTGGAGTCCTTTTGCCCAGGGACGTGTATTGCAGCTTCCTGTGTTTTGTACCAAGTGTTCCTGATCAACAGAAATGTCTTTAAAATGTAAAAAAAGCTGGAAAAGAGGAGAGGGGGTGATGACTGATTGTGGATGCTGATGGAGGCAGGACAAGTCTCGGCACTGGTTACAGGTGAGGTTTGAGAGCTGCACCGCTGCCAATCCTGGGTCATTCCGTGCTCAAGGGGAGTTTGGGAATACCCCAGGAAGGGCAGCTCTGGGGACGTGGGGCAGGAACTTGTCACCCTCAGCAGTCGCAGCTGGTGAGGCCGGGCAGCAAGGGGCCAAGGGCAATGCCAGACTCCTCCCTAGCACCCCATTCCCGGATCCTGCCCTCGCTGCTCCCAGCTCACTCACTGAGTGCTCTGAAGTGAAACTGGAATTCCCTCCCAAGCCCTGGGGCACAGCTGGAGCAGAGCAGAGTGGGGAGATCGTTCTGAGCCATTAAAGCTTCCGGGAGGAGCAGCCTTTCCTCAGGGACGCTACATGACGCTGGTAATCCCAGGAAGCTGGGAGTGGAACAGGAACAGCAGGGATATCCCAAGGGTAGGAGCCAGCCCCGAGCCTGCAGCAGCTCCTTGGGAAGGGTCACACACAAGGAGGGACTTGGATACAGCTTCACTTTCTGCACACATAAGGAGGGACTTGGATACAGCTTCAATTCCTGCGTCAGATTTCCAAGGGCACAGAATGAAACCAGCCCGTGGCTCCAGCTCTGCCAGGGCAGGGGCAGAAGCCCCGAGGAGCCCGTGGTGGAATTTGTTCAGAACTCCCTCCTGTCCTGCTCTGTGTGAAGTTTAATTAAAAGTGGAGCACAGTGGAAGCCAAAGGGAAGTGTCCAGTCAAGAGGACTCCACAGACTGGATTTCCTCCCCTTTTCCAATGGCCCCTTGGAGTAGGATCCTCGGGCACGGCAGTGCCACAGCCCTGGCTGGAACATCAGCCCTTCCTGCCTCCCTCCCTGCCCAGAGCTGGCTCTGCTTCATCCATCACATCCCACTGCTCCCAGGGATGAATTCCCAGATCCAGGTTCCAGCCAGCCTGCAGGAGCTGCCACCTGCTGCTCCCCAGGGACACTGGGATGGACACACGGAGACAAGGACACACAGCACACCACGGGCCGCTGCCGGCTCTGCTCTCCAGGGGCTTACGGCATTTATTTTCCTTGGAATTTGGTGTGAAGGATCCAATCAATGCAGTGGGACAGGATTTGGGAGAAGCACTTTGGCACCCAGCTACCAGCCACTGTAATTCCAGCACAAGGCTTGACACCCCGAACTCCAGTGCTGGAGTTGTGAATTTCCATGATTTTCCTCGTTTTCTGTGAGTCTGTGCTCTGGCCATTGAAATTCCTTTCGTTACCTCGGAATGGTCATTGCATATCGTGAGCAGAACTAGGTTATCCCTGAAATTTGTAATGTTTAGGATCTGCAATCTGTGGCTAGAAGTTTGTGTGTGACTCCAGGCTCAACCTGCGGCTCACAGGCAGTGAGCTGCACTCCCCTCCCACGGCACCGAGCTTTGAGTGGAGGGAAGCTGCAAATCTCCAAGCAGAGGGTGAGGAATTAGGGAACTGAGCTTCCTGAGGTGATCCTGAAACAGTGACACAGCCCCCACTGCCTGGCGGGACAGGGAACACGCGGCGACCTCGGCACAAACATAAATAGGAAAAAGACTCTTTTTCAAAAAAAAAAAACAACAAGAATTCAGAGCTTTCCAGTGTCACAGCTCAGAGAAAATTAAAAAAAAAAAGAAAAAAAAAAAAGTCATGCTTAAGGTTTCAAATATTCCTCAGACACAGCAAACCTAAATAGTATTCAGTTAAATAAATGGATGAGATACTCTGGGAAATGGAGGGAAAAGCTTTCAACTAAAAGAGGAAGGAAAATTTTCTTTCAATAAACAGCACTTTTTCTTTTTTATACACAACAAGCGAGTACAAGAAAAGGCTAAAAACACGGCTCTAGGAATGGCCACTTCCTGGGGGCACGGAGCTTTCCCCTTCTTAAATAACACAGGGCATTGGGAATACATCATTTACAAAACACGGAGCGGTTTATTATTCCAATTAGTGTTGTCAATCATAATTTAGCGAGGTGGAACTGAGGTATACCTGGTTGAGGGAGGTTAAGTAATACTTGGAAGCCTCTTTGCTCTATCCCATTGATTACTCTTGTTTCTGTACACGGAACAGCAGCACACGGAACATTCACAAGCTGTGTCGTAGTCGCATTACAATAGTCATTTTATAAACAACAACGAATGCAATAAAAACGAGTTACCCTTTTTTTTTTTTGTTGTTTTTAAATCTGAAATGAAATGTTTTTGATTTAAAAAAAATAACAGTAGTTCATTTAAAGGAATTAGTCTCTTCTGACAGGGATTAAGAAATCGGATGTCAGTGTTTAAAATTCTCATTAGCCCGTTCAGGTCCGGATTCTTCATTGTAAGTTCCTTATCAGCACGTGAGGGGTTCTCAGTCACGTCCTTCAGGTGTAAGCAGGGAATGCAGAAAGTCTCATGGATCCACGTCGGGGAGGAGGAGGAGGAGGGGAAAACAAAGGATAAACACCTCTTGGTGATGTTCCAGAGAGACTTACCATCCGTTCTTGCCACCCGGAACAGCAGTGACGCCAGCAGTCCGTGCGCTGTAGCAGCTCCAGTGAAGAGTCCTGTGGTCACTTCCTGACCAGTGCAACTATCATAGACTGGATTCTTTGGGAGGAAAGTCAACGTTTGTCACCATTGTGACCACAGTCACGATGTCCTCTGTTGTTATAATGTTAGTGAGTTTTTGCATCTGGATGATCCTCTCCTCCACGCAGCCCGCCGACAGCCGCGCCTCGGCGTCGTGATCCCAGCACTCCTCGATGGTCTCGCACAGCATCGCCATTCCCTGCGGGAAAGCAGCCAGGGAAACAGCACACATCAACAAGGGCACTTCGAGGGACACGTGGCAAACGGGAGCCTTGGTGTCCCACAGGATGTGGGGCTGGGGTTGGTGTGAACCTGGAGTGTCCCGTGGGGCCTCAGCTCTGCTTTGCTCTGCACTATTGAACAAAAACTGTTCGACGACAGCAGCAGGGAGCAAATCCTTCCCTGCAGGGCTGGAGCCTCCCAGTGTTTTAAAAGGTGAATCCCTCAGCCACCAACTGGGACTGAACTGCAAAGTAACTCCAGGATCTCTTCTTCCACCAAAAACCAGAAAAAACCCCTCACTTTCTAGTACTGAAGAAAGAGCAGTCTGAGATGAGGAACCTTCACAGCCCATTAACTCCTAGTGGAATTTGGAACCCCTCCCAAACCCCAGCGTGATGCACACAACACGGCACGGACAGAACGTGGGATTCACAGTCGGACGGGTCACACTTACAGAATGTTTCTGCCAACACTCCCTTAGGACAGGCCTCTTCTTTTTGTGCACCACAACTTCCTGCATGTCCTCCAGGGAGGGGTGCTGGCCAATCTCCTCCTCGAAAGGCAGCATGTACTCATCCACGGGGCCTGCGGAGGGAAACACCGGTTAAACGGGAAAGGGAAGGCTGCCATGCTGGCATGTCGGCCACAATCAGAACCCAGAGAGGTTTGGTAGGAAGGGATTCCAGCCCCTGCAGTCCCACCCTGCCCGAGCTGGGCCCTCCCAGAAGGGCAGGAGCTGCAGCTGCCCGGGGCAGGGCCACGGGGAGGTCGCTCACCGTCGGCGGCCGTGCAGCGCGAGGCCAGTTCCCAGAGCACCAGGCCCATGGCGTACATGTCTATCCGCAGGAACGCGTCCCTCTGGAAGTTGATAGCACCTTCGAGCACCTCGGGAGCCATGTACCTGCGGGTGCCCACCTGCAAGGGCACCAAAACACCCACGTTTGTGCCCGGAATCATCCCCAGCACGGGCACCACCCCGCCTGCTGCCGCATCAAACCCCTGCTTCGTCCCGCATTAAACGCGGCCGCGTTGTTCCTGCGTTGGGAATAAATCTTGGAGGTTTCATCACCCAGTTTCTAAATGGAAATTAAGTAATTGATAAAATATTGTAAAAGTTCTAGTCCAAATCGCCCCGTCGGGATAAAAGGGGGGATAGGCCATGCAAAGAGCCTGAGGGGAGATTCCCATTCACATCCAGGTAACAGCTGGATCATGCCTGGAAATAACTCAGGATTTACCTGTCCATGGGTGTCTCCTGCAGACTTTCCAGCCTCAAACTTTAAAGCTAGACCGAAATCAGCAATACAAGCCGTGAGGTTGTTTTTCAGCAGCACATTCTTGCTTTTGATGTCCCTTTCAAGTTCAAGGAAAAAACCACAAATTAGAGATAGAACACAAAATACAGTAAAAACTCTAAGGAAAAGGGAACAGCAGAAAACAAGGAACATTATGGTATGAAAGGCAAGAAAATGATAAAGAAAATAGATAAGTTAAACAACAAAACAATAATAATAAAACCTTGGGGGAGTGCCCTTGCAGACCTTAATGGGAATAAATGAGACACTAATTGGAACTGTAATTTTGTGCTTGTTGTTAAAATAAATACAGATGAATGATGGCTGTAGGGATAAATGGAGATATGGAGATGGGTGATGCATGTGGGATACATGGAGATACAGAGATGGAATGAAAATTTTGCAATCCAAGCGTGCAGTGACTGCAACTTTGTTCAAATAGCAGGAAACAAAACGCTTGGAAAAAAGCGCCTTGGAGGGGAGATCCAGGAATTCCTGCAGGACCAAGAGGTGGTGAGGGGCTGCCTGCAGGATGGCCACGTGTCCCTGCACTCCCAGGGCAGTACCTGTGGGAGATGGCCGGCTTGTGGCCGTCCTTGAGCCCCGGGATGTCCTCGTGCAGGTAGGCCAGGCCCCGCGCCATGGTCTGGGCGATGTGGCACAGCTCGTTCCACGACACCACGTTGGCCTTCAGGAAATCTGTCAGGGACCCCTGCAGAAAAACAGTCACACACCCAGCTCAGCCTCACTGCTCCAGGGAAAACCTGCAATTCCTATCTGTAGGACTTTTGATTGTCCTTCCTTGTGGACCAACAGCAGTTTCAGAGGGAAATACTCTGAATAAACAGAGATGAAATCATTCAGCACCACAGTTTCAGAGTGAAACACACTCTGAACAAATCTGAAAAGATTTTCAGAGTGAAACACACACAAAATTATTCAACATAAAACTGAATGTATTCTTAATTAATTGTATTTGTGTTTCTTCCTTTTGCTGTCACAATAGAATCGATCTGTATCACTACATTTTTATTCTTATGAGCCAACAAGTGAACCAAAAATAACCCCCCAAAAATCTCTGCAAGATGGGAGGTTATGTATTTTAGGCAGGCTTAGATTTGGGATATTAAAATAGACATATCCCAAAAATCCAAAAAAAGGCAGAATCAATTTTTGTTTGTCTCCTAAAACAACTCCTCTATCAGCAAAACCCGACGACAGCTTCCTCAGCTGCCTGAAAACGAACTGCAGCGAATTCACATCCAGTAAAAACCGAGCAGCAAAGAGGGAGCTGCTTCCCATTTCCTTCCTTCAGCGCCCCAGCTGCCCGTGTGTGACCCTGTGGGGCGCTGTCCCTGCCCCAGCCAGGCCAGCCCCACCTTCTCGTGGAAGGCGGTGATGAGCCACAGG